AAGCTTTTGTATCATCACACTTATAACCAGCTACTTCTTTTGAAAAGACCAGCATACAAGATGTATTTTGGATGGCAGTGTTTTGGTGTTCCCACCAGGCTTCTTAAAGGAATAGTCCGGCCGAAAAATGAAAATTCCGAGGCTTTATGCCGAGCGTCACGTGACCAAACCGGAAAACGGGTCTCATCACATCCGCTTGCCATGAAAGTGTTAACGGCCGTAAGAACTGACTTTGATATCTATGTATTTTTAAGGTAATCAGCTAACCAACCTAGTTCACTTTGTTATTGGCGTTTTATTCCATTTAAATATCTAAATGTTACTGTGAAGAAGAAAAAAATATAAAACGTTTAAATATCAATCTGCACATGTGAGGCACATTGGTTATGCTAATCTTTGCTCGCTCCTTTTAAGTTATCTTGAGTAAAACCACAAAAAAAATCATGAAGCACGGAAGCGATGTGATCTGTTTTACAGAATGCAGAAGTAAGTTGTGCATATTAAACATTGGAAAACAATGGGAACCAAAATTGAAAAGTAACCAACACTCTTCAAATAATCCTCTTCAATGTTCCAAAAAACAAAAACAAAAAAACTTTTAAATAGCCTAACTGGCAAAACTTGGAAAAAGAAAAAAACTGGAACACCTCAGGAAACATTCAGGCCAGGCAAAATGGATCTCTCAATCAGTTTACATTTCCTTGTCCTCACCTATTTGTTGACATTTCAGGCCATTCTGAAGCAAGACTTCTGCACTCAATCCATCTGCAGCAGCTCTGCTATAGAATATGTATAAACTTTGACCCCTGCATTACCCTGTCTTTGGATTTGTTTTATTGGCACTGTGGCTGAGACATTCGAGGACACTTCAGGCAAATAAGGGCCAATAGTCCCAAGAAAGAGGAAGCCCTGCAGCATTCAATAAGTCATTTAATCGAGTGGAGAGCAGACATCAATACAGGTAAAACGCAGCAGGATACTCAGCAGGAAAACGGAAATGGGAGAGGTAGTTTTCATGAGAATTCAGTATGTTTCACATAGGTAACAGGAACACACAACCATGCTCCACACTGCAATAGAGCACAGCTGTGTTTTATAAAGGCAGATCATTTCATGAACAAAGTTTTTGTGACCTCTGGCTGTTTCAGATTTTATTTAAAAAAATGCTCTCAGTGTTGTCACAAAGAATATATTTTCCCACGTTAAAGTGTGGGATTTCAAAAACATGAAAATTCAAAACAGTTCTGAGGGGACTGTCCTGCAAAGTTTATCTCCAACAACGTTTAATCACACCTACAGTAAACCAGCTGATCCCTTACTATGGGATTACTAACCCTTACTAACCCTTACTATGCATACTAAAAACTTCCAGGTAGGTGTGTTGAGGCAAGTTTCACAAAGTGTTGACACCCCTCAACTAAACTGACATAAATTAATTGTGCAAAACTCAGCATATACAAATCTAAATTTTCAGTATACTAAAGTATTAATCATTATTTAGGGTATTATGTATTATAATTTAGATCCAGCAGTCCTCTACGTTCGGTTACTGACCAGACATGTTATAATTTAGATCCAATAGTGCTCTACATTCGGTTTCTGACCAGACCAATTGGCTTTATGCACAGCTGCACTACTTCCTGAACTTAAGCCAGCTCCTTGTTTCCTGTCTGCCATTATTGGACAAATTGATTAGTTCAGTTGTGCCTGACCTCAGTAGTCACGGCAACAATAATCAGACACACCTGAATTAATTAAGCTTGGCCAATAATGGCAGACAGGAAACAAGGAGCTGGCTTAAGTTCAGGAAGTAGTGCAGCTGTGAGCTGTAAGGGAGAAATTATAAATGAATCATACACACAACTACAGTCGTGCTCAGAATTAATGGCACCCCTGGTAAATATGATCAAAACTGGCTGTAAAAAATAAATCTGCATCGTTTGTCCTTTTGATCTTTCATTCAAAAAAAAAAATCAAACGTTTCATTGAAGTAAAATAATTGAAAGTGGGGGAAAATCACATTAAGTAATAAATGTTTTTCTCCAAAACACATTGGCCACAATTATTGGTACCCCTAGATTTTCTTTTTTCCGAAAATATCTCTGAAATATATTCCCATTAATGTTTACCTTTTTTAGCAGACCAGGGTGACTAGGAACATGACATTGTCCAGCTATGACTTCTTGTTTCACAGGAGTTTAATAAATATGAGGAAACACAAAGACCAAATTCCCTTAATCATCCATGCATGAGTAAAACCAAAGAATATAGTTCTTATGTGCATCAAAAGATTGTTGAGCATCACAAAATAGAGCGCGGCTGTAAGAAAATAGCATTGAAAATCCCCATTTTGACCATCAGGGCAATAATTAAGAAGTTCCAATCAACTAAAGGTGTTACGAATCTGCCAGGAAGAGGACTTGTGTCTATATTGCCTTAATGGACCGTGAGGATGAAATTTTGAGTGGCCAAAGACTCTTCAAGGAAATTGTAGAGACAAGTTAAGTCTTGGAGTCAAAAAGCCTATTAAAAAAACTAAAACTAAAAATCAAACAACCCCTACATCATCACCACATTTGGTTTGGGAGGGTTTCAAGAAAAATGATCCTCGCTCATCCAAAAACAAACTCCAGTCAATTCAGTTGTCAGACACGACTGGAACTTCAAACGGAACAAGGTGCTGTGGTCAGATTAAAAAAAAAAAAAAAAAAGAGCTTTTTGGCAGCAAACACTCTAGATGTGTTTGGTGCACACAAGGATAAAAAGTACCCCATGTGTACAATTTAATATACCGCTGGCTGGATCTTTAATGTTGTGGGCCTATTTTTCTGCTGGAGGTCCTGGACTTCTTGTTCAGATACATGGCATTGGGATTCTATCAAATATCAACAGATACAAAATTAGAAATCTTATAGTGGGCCGTGATTGGATCTTCCATCAGGACAACGATCCAAAACAAACATCAAAATCAACCCACAAATTTGTTACGGAGCACAAAATAAAGCTTGCCATGACCGTCCCAGTTCCCTGACCTTAGAGGTGGGCTGAACGAGCCCGTTCTCATCCCAAAGCGCCATATAGGACGCTTTTGCAAAAGCGTAAATATCCAACGCACATGGCACCCTTTAACGTCAAATGAGACGCTTCGGTTATGGTTAAGTTTAGGTATGGTGTAGGGTAAGGGTTAGACCACTAGGGGGCGCCTTCTGCCCAAATACATCTGCGTCTCATTAGACGTTAAAGGGTGCCATGTGCGTTGGATATTTACGCTTTTGCAAAAGCGTTGTATATGGCGCTTTGGGATGAGAATGCGTTGGCTGAACTGTAGAGAAGCACCAACATGGATCTAGATATCTGAAGGATCTGGAGAGATTCTGTATGGAGGAACGGTCTCTGATCTCTTGTCAGTTAAGCTCCAAACTCATCAGGCATTATTGGAGAAAACTCAGAGCTGTTATCTTGGCAAAAGTATTTAATAAAAGGGTGCGAATTATTGTGGCCAACGTGTTTTGGAGAAAAACATTTTATATCATAATGTGATCCCCCCCCCCCCCACACACACACACACACACCCACTTTCAATTCTTTTACTTCAATGAAAGGTTCGATTTTGGGCAATTTTTTGAATGAAAGATCAAAAGGATAAACAATGCAGATTTATTTGTTACAGCCAGTTTTGATCATATTTACCAGGGGTGCCATTAATTCTGAGCATGACTGTATATTGTAGAGACATTTCCTTTATTGTTACCATATCTCCACCACATTAAAACATATGTAAATAATTTAACTAAATTAGCCCAGACCAATGAAATATTCAAATTGCATTAAAACTAAAAAGTTATTTTTAATCTTTTGGCTGATGAAAAGAAAGTGCTAATCAAACTGATCTACTACTCCCAGACACCCAGAGTGTAGTCTGCCTTGTCTCAGTGTATATGTCATAAATCCCCATGTAGGTGGGGAACTGATTCCCCTGCTTGGCCTGTTTCTTAGCCATGGGACTTAGCCATCAATCAATGTAAAAAGCTTTCCAATGGGGAATAAGGAGCACCCTCAGATTTAAAGCTATCTGCCGTGACTCTTTCTCTGTTCTCACAACCACATGAGTGAGAGAGTCTGAGGGAAGTAGCAATCTACATGTTATTTTAATTACTAAGGTGTTACCTTATTCCGGTTCCCAGGGGGAAGCTCCAAGTAGGAATTGCAGTGCTTCGCTTTCGTTAATTTGACAGACATGACTTACCAGTGACATTGAATTTGGAAGGTTTAAGTTTCCTCTCAAGGTTTTTGTTTTCTTTTACAACAAATCTCTAACAAATGTTTTAATATTCGTTAATTAAATAAAGTGTTCTCTTCATGTCTCTCATGTCGAGGAAATCAATTGCCTCAGAAAACTCAAACTTTCCTTCTGCCTTCAACTGGTGCTCTTAAACCTTTGCTGTCACCATCTATTGTGCACACCTTTGGCAGTGCATCTCTGCTCTTTTTATTAGGGCCCTTTCCATGGTGAAGTAGGGAACAACATTGCCACCTAGAGGACGATCCAAGTCAGCATTCAGCATCTCAGGCAAGATTCACACAACCCCTGCTACCCTCCTCACAAACATTTTTCCTAAGTATTCTGAGGCACATTTAAAAAGAAATTTCATTGCAACCCTTCCCCCAAATAAAACACATTCAACTGCTACTACCGTCACATCAGCTGCATCTCAGAACCGAGCGATTTCCATTTCCCATAGAGTTCGGTGAAGTGTACAGCATTTACAATGGTTCATTGAGCACTAACCATGAACATTCAGAACTATATCTCCCCATGCAAGATCCAAAGGATCAGAGACCGGAAGATAGCATGCATCCACAAGGGCATATAGAGGGAAAAGAGGGAGGAAAACAAGTAGGGCATGAGATACCAACCCCACTGGTTGAACTGTACAATCGCAAAGTCTTATTTTTTTCTACTTCTCAAACAGCATCTTTATTAAATGAGCACATCCTACCTGCATAGATGGGGGCCAGTCGAAATATATCTGAAAGCCGGCTGTTCATAGGCTCATATGGAGAATCCTCAAGTAAATCATTCCCTGCAATATTAACAAATGAAATGTTATTAAAAACCAATAATGAAATGCTATATGAATTATTAAATCACTCTTAATATATTATTAAACAACAAAGCTGCAAACTGTCCTTTATGTTTGTTAGTATTTGGGTCATTGATTCATGGGACTGGTTTACATTTCTGTAAAACCCCCCCTTCCGGCACACACACACATATAGACTAACATAAAGCATCAGATGACCTCACACTCCATAAACTTTAATGGAAACACTTCAGAGAGGCATTTGAAGACTTTACACTGACCCTATCTGATAACAGAACCCAGAAAAGCAACTCCTTGGCTTAGTATTATAGCTTGCTATGTATTAAAAATAAAGAGAATGTCAGAAAAATACAGATGTGAGTAACTTCAATCTGAACCTAAACATGATCACAGGCACAGCTGCATGAGGTTCGCGCACCCTGTAAATGCTGATAGATCCCCCAGTAGACGCGCAGGCAGTTCTTTTCTTTCTTCATGGCTCTTTTACAGCGGCAGTTATATAAAGGGCTCTGCTTTAAAGCATCCAAGGCAAGGCGACATTCATCCTTCGCCTCCATTCCAGTCACCATACTGAAGTTGGTCTCTCTCCCTGCCACGCATTGCCTCATAGTTCGAAACTTTGTGCTGCATACCGGCTCCTTCAAACACAGCTCGCTCGCCTTCACACAGTCCATCCGGTTTGAACTAGTAAAGTAAGACTCCTCAGCAGATAACAGCACATCTATGGAGGAGGACAATACAAATAAATAAATAAATGAATAAATAAATCATATCACACACTGGATCTCATTTTATTTAAAATGCTTCAAGAACTAGCCTACTTCTGAGTGACCGAAACAAGAATTGTTACTAACAAATTAACAATTCATACTTCATTTGTATAAATAGCCTACATTTAGGCTATTGTTGTCACATTAAGCATTTGCTAATATTGTTCAAGAATATAAAGGGATTTAATAAACTTCACGTGCTTTAGAGATTAAAATATTAACACAAGAAGATTTAAGAAGACTTAAGTGGAAGTATGACAGAGCCGATTCTTAATAGCTAAAATTTGCCCCAGTTATGAGACAATTGGAACATCCTAAGTGCATATATTTGACGGGATCAAAAAGAGCACAGTGTAAAAAATATATATATATATATTTTTATGATCTTATCTTAAATTGACTTAAATACAATAGATATAACGTGCGTCTATGTAGGCTATATAAATAATTTACAAATCACTACTGAATATGAAGAATCCGCAATATAACTCACCCAGCAGTGGTAAAATTATGTAAATCGTGGAGATGATCATTGCGCTTTTTATCCGTGGGTAAGTTGTTTCAAACACGCAATATATAGTTTTGACGATGAAAAGAATAATCCTTCTCATTCAGGTCCATTGAAACATCGTTGGTCCAATGTAGCTATATCCAGAGTGGGCTAAAGAAAAAAAAATCCTCCGTAACCTGGTACAAAACTGTCAGTAACCTATATTTAACGGTTTCTAGGATTAAGACGCATGTACGATGTAACAAACAAGCAGAAAATTAGTCGCACGGTAGCAGAATAAAACTACAGCTCTCAAGATATGCTCGTGCGACTGAGCGCGCGACAGCACTGTGGCATTCAGTTGCGCTGTAACCCAAACCAAAAACCACACGCGACTCACTGCACGCTCAGCGTTTATGCGTAAAACACGGCAACAGGACAAAGACGTCTCGTTTTGCCACTCCAAAACTTATGTTTACTGCTTTGTTGCTATAACAGTATATGATATAGCACAATGCACGTTGATTTCGTTATTTAGACAACACGTCAATTATTGAGTGTCTCTTATAGCCTCATGCAAGATGCTTTTCCCCCTTATCAATTGGTGATCTGAGTAGCTATGTCTTAGAAATTGCATTGCAGGCGTTGCAATCGCTTTTGTTTGCCTTACTTGTTGATGTTAGTTGGATAATCTGATCTGAATAGAATTGGGAAGATTAGAAGGAGCCTACATACCAGTGAAATCAAATTAAGTAAATGATTTCTGAGTATTAAACTCAGTGTATCTCGGTTCGTGTAAATACTTATCTAAGGGAACATGCCATAACATTTGTGAACAGTTTTTTTGTTGTAGGTAGCCTACTACTTTAACAGAATGACAATATATTGAACTTATGATATGGATTTCCTTGCCGAATAAACATAGACTTCACAAAGTTTTGTTGCGATCTGGTTCACGGTGAAAGACTAGTGGAGGTCGCCATCTGTTGGTACGTATATGCATTTAGCTAACCAATGACTACAAGATCACTGGATATATATATATATATATATATATATATATATACATATAATTTAACAAAATATAGGAATAGCTCCTAGCCACTAACAGCTTGGCGACTTAAATCACTGTGAACTGTAAAGCCCAAATTCTGTTTTTACTCATGTCCAACTGCAACTGAGTAGTAAGGTGTTCTCAAAAAGAATTTCCACAATAACCAACTCTAAATAAATAAACTTAATCATTATCACTTCAACATATTGGCATTCCTCCAGTAACTTACTTTATTTTATTATGTGTTTTGCTTTTTTATTTGAATTTTGATTTTGCTTATCTTTTTTTTTTTTTACACTTTTACGTTTTCATGTTTTTGTAATTTTTCTTCGTTTATATATATATATATATATATATATGTATATATGTATGTGTAGGTTTTCAGTTCAAAAGGGGACATAGCCTGTTTGGATGATCATCTAAATTTGACTTTGACAATGGAGGACCCAAAGTTACAAACGCTGAGAACCCTAACCCTATTTATATATCACTCCAGTCACTCCAGTTAAGAACTACTGAAATATCCTATTCTAGGACACTGTCTGGTGCATTCTACTTATTCTGTCTTGTTAATGCCTTTTTTTCAATTTAATGGCTTTATAGTTCACTTGGTTAAACACAAATCAATTTCTATGAAAGAGATTAATTTTTACAGAAATCAAAACCATTTGATGTTTATCCATGTGTTTGTTCATCGTTCATTGGGGATCAATAATTTTGACCAACTCTATTGACAACTGTTCAATCAATAGGCATGTTTCTTATCTATTTAAATGCATTTATCAATTAACCTGCAGATCATTTCATTTTAATAAACTTAAGGGGAGAACTGGGATTCAATGGGCCATGGGTGACAAGCACCAGGGTAGCCTATACCAGGCTTTGGCTCTAAGATTTGTCAGACTCAGACATTTGAGTTGGTGGGTGTTAATTTGATTCTTGAAGAAAAAGTCTGAAAAATATAAACTTCAATCAAAATGGACTATTCATTTTGCAAATGAATGTCAAAATGATATAGTCATGGTCTTACTAGAACACTTTAATGTTCTGTGGCACAAGATCAAAACCATTCTTTCCAGCAGTCTGGGAAGATATAGAAAGTAGCTAAAGAATGGCATGAAAAATACTGCTGGACCAAATGGCACCAAATTAAACTTATTGATTGCTGACTGTGCATAAACACTGAACAATATGGAGACTAACAGTTTAAACTGCACTTCAAAGTATGCCGGTGATGAATAAAACTGTTGGTTGTGGAGGCCAAACGACCGAGCTATCCAATGGGCTGATACATTTCTCACATGTGGTGCATCTGGTACACAGTGCTGCCAGATATACGATAATTATCGTATTGGTATGATAACTTTGACCCCTGTAGGATTAATAATGAAAAAAAAAAAACAAAAAAAAAAAAACATAACCTAGGCCTACATTTTGTGACAATTCAATTGCATGATGGTCATTGTAATCAGCTTCTACTCATTGATCAGTGGATCTATCGTCATGGTTGTGAGGAGAGTGTGAACGTAGTGTTACACGTCTTTATCTCATTTCACATTTCGTATTCTCAGCCAATCATCGTGGAGAATGACAATCTATGTATATGTCTATGTAATATAAATTTATGTAATCTATGCAATCTCTGTATGTTTTGCAAGAAAAAAAAAAAATCTGTTCCTGCCATGGCGCTTAGGTCGGTTGTTTAAAAAAAAAAAAAACTAATTAAAAAAAAAAAAAAAAAAAAAAAAAAAGAAAAAAGTAACATATTTAATTACTGTAAAATATGCTCCAATCAACTTTGTATCAAGTACAACTAAAAAAGTGTCTAGTTTGGCCCAGATTTGGACAAAATGAGGATGAATAAATGACAGAAATCTCATTTTCAGTTTAACTATTTCTTTACCATGCCTTCTTTAATTTACCTTTACTGTTTCTGACCAACCATAATATTTTCTTGATTACGATTATAATGCCGACTAGAAAAGAAAATAGCAAATAACTTTTACGTCTGCGCGCCGCGCGCATGCATTTGCAAATGCGAAGTTAACGGGTGCCAGGATTGCGCATGCGCACATCGCGTGACTACGAAAAGTCTTTTCCCCGCTACTAAGCTAAGTTAGCCAGTTTCCTTCATTCTTGTATTTGGTATTTAATGATTAAAAAATGAGCCTAGAATCTCTTTTCGAGCAAATTTTATTGACAGAGCAGCAGGTGTCGGAAAATATCAAGCAGCTTCATGAAGGTAACACTGGGTCATTTACATAACTCGCGAATGTTTTTGAACACAGACAATTCAACACAACAATATATTTCTAAAATTATTTTACATGAAATATGAAAGTACTTTGTAAGTATTTTGTACAAATTTAGTTCGTAGAGTAAGAAAAAGTGAATAATGTTCGGTTTTTTGTTCATTCAGTTAAAGCTGCCATCAAGAGTGTACAGGACAAAATAAACTCCTCGTGTGAAAAACTGGAGAAAGCACATCATGAACTGGACGATAAGGTTTGGACAACACAAACACACACAGTGGAAGATTAGAAAATATACATTTCCCATATAATTTTTTCTTAAAGTGTTGTCTGAAAATATAGGCCAAACAACTGATAGAAATATTGCCACAAGCAGAGAATGTCCACTGTCACTCACTTTAAAGTTTATCTGTGCAGAAAGCTGATATGCAGTATTAATATCGGTTGGCGCTGTGAAAAGACATTCTGTTTCATGATTAAAACACTTCATCTAATGGACAGGATACATTAAAATGGAGTGGATCAATTCAAAGCGGCACTGCAAAATCAATCTCGTTTCTTTCAGATTACATTAGTATTATTGTTGAAAAACCTTTAAAAATACAATTATCCTTGCAAACATATGGCACACCGTTTGTTTGATACCAATGTCAGACATAGTAAGTCAATGAGCAATTGAATCATTTGATTAAAGGGGTAACTCTTTTCATGAATACTGAAGTCAATACAGAATCAATAGGTTTCTAAATGCAGATTACTTCAGATATCACCCATTCACATAAACTGATCATCACGTAGTACATTTTAAAATGTATATTTAACATTTTCACTGTTTTTAAATTCATCCGTTCTGCATTGTGGAAAGTTGACAAATTGAATGACCTCAGTGAGGTAGTGAATGTCATGAAAGACGTGTCTAATTTTCTGCATAATATTACGTTTTGTCAGACCAACATGTGCCATGTAATTACAAAGCATAATTTGCTTGCATTCTTTGAAGCTAGGTGGAGAGTAATTACCTGAAGGATCCTTGATGTCTTTCACAGTTGACTGAGCTGGTAAAAGGAGAGAAGCAGGGACTTGAATTCAAAAGGCAGTGCTATGTCAATTACAGAATGACCTACAAATACAATGACATAAGCTTACCTTAACAAATAGCATTGAAGCCACTGATCCGTCAGATGAGCAGCATACTGTGCTGCGGCAATGTCTTTGTGCAAAGATAAAACTTCACTGCTGTGAATACAAAGTTCATTTGATGGACACTTTTTGGGACCATCTGAATAAGACACTGGTCAAATTCATGATTAATTTATGACCATAGGCTCAGCTCCTGTCTGAAAACAAACTGGAGCTTGTTTTGATGACAAAGCGACGAGATCAATTGGAAAGGAAGAGAGAGGAGGTCCTGGAACTGCAGAAAGACCTCAAAGAAACCCTGGTACATACTTTCACATTGAAGATTATTTCTATTCCGTCTTTTTGGAAAGGCTATTGTCTATTCATCATACACCCCATAAACACAACTAAGTTAAGCCTGAAACAATATTATTACTATTATGAAGCTTTTTACCATCATGTGGACTGATAAAGAAAGACGTCATTGGCCATTAAAGATTTCAGAGCCATGCATTATCCGTCATCTAATACAATGTACATGCTGAAGTGTTGAACGTGCTTTTGTACTCTTTTTGTAATCTGCATAATAGCCTTTCCATTGTTTTGAAATTCAGGACAGACTGAAAAGAGAATTTTGTAAAGAAAGAGAGAAATTCCTGAAGGAGATGATAACTTTCAACAATAAATTCAACCTAATCGGCAACAGAAATGCTGTTTTTCACACCCAAACCCGCTCTAAGATCCAGAGTCTGGAGTTGGAAGCTGAAACTCTACACAGAGGTAAGTGTTTTATTGTTGAAAATCCGACAAAAGTATTTCATTCACATCATTGCATTACAAACTACTGTACACATTAGTCAAACCCAATCTACATTAATCCAATATGATTGGTCGCTAAGATTTTAATGCTTTTGAAAGTATCTCATCAAGTTTTATTGTGAAATATTATTTAAACCATTTAAAAATGAAAAGTTTTTATATAGTTTAAAATGTAATTTATGCCTGTTATGGCAAACATTAAGCAGACATTACTCAGATATAATTCTAATGGACCCTTTTCATGGACAATGATGATGCGTTTCCACAGTTATCAACATGGCAAATCTAGTATTTTAAGTTTTTAATATTTTCATTTAAAAACATATTATTAATACACATTTATAAAACTATACTTTGTGTTATATTATCTTAGCAGTAAATTATAAAAATTACAAAATACAAATAAATGCTCCTGCGAGGGTGTTTCTAATACAACGGCTGAGGGAGAGATGCCAAATTTGACAATTTGTCTAATGCTGATTTTTTTTTCAAATGCAAATAGATAAATTATACTGTATTTCCTGTCATCTTCCATTCACTGCTATAGACATTTACCCAACTATAATGACTTCAGCTTCTAAGAACCCTGGAAATGTGAAAAGGGTCAAAATGCTAATTTATTGTTCAAGAAACATTTCTTATTATTAGTGTTGCAAAAGAGCTGCTTAATATTTTTGCGGAAATAGTGCTAAAATATTTTTAGGAGTCTTTGATGAATAGGAAGTTTAAAGTGCCCATGGTATGGCATTTGAAAAGTTTCTAATTTTGTTTTGGGAGTCCCCAACCACATGTTTACATACATGCAAGGACAAAAAACACTTTTACAATCTTATAATATGCAATTATTTTTACCTTATGTACATAGGCGGAAATCGCGGGGGGGTCGGGGGGGTCAGGACCCCCCCTATCTGAGGGTTGTCCCCCCCAAAAAAACATTAAAATATGTGTATTGTAAATAATGTATTGATATGTTCTTAAAATAATTAAGAAATAAAATAACACAAATGCAAACGGGGCAATATCGAAAAAAGCGTTCTAAACATTTTGAGACCCCCCTCCCTTGCCTCACAGTGCATTGGTCCACTGCCTCCGTCCCTTTTACCTCAGACGCCTCCGTCCCTTTTACCTTAGACACACACATTCCGGTGGCGGGAGAGAAAAACAGTTTTTGAGTAGTTGTGGAACTCCAGTAATGGGGTCGCACACCGGACGAGAAGCGTCGCGTCGCGCAGCGCCACGTCTTTAAAATTCGAACACATTATTCTCTATGAGTGTAGGCTACACACACCGGCGGCGCCGTTCGGCGTCTGTCCGCGGCGCCCAGCAACGTCTCAGGACGTGTTCAAAACCCTGCTGCGCCACAGAGCGCCATTTACATAGTATTATATACAATTTAAATTATTTTTGTCTCAAATCGGTGCTGACGGATCCTGACTTCGCCCTATGCTGCAATATGCATTTAGTTTTGCATTTATTTACAGAAATCAGCTGCTTGAATGACTTGCTGGTGTTATTGGATTTTTCAGGTGATATTCTCAATTCATTCAGTAAACGGATGCTCTGAGGTAAAGTTTTCAGACTGCAGACTCAGGAACGATTGTTTTTAATTGTACAGTACAATAATAACTTAGAACAGACATTATCTTCATGTCATTAAACATTACAATATTGCTGGCCATACACTGGTGAGAAAGTCCGGGTGCGCTGTGCATTTAGATTGTAACGCTTTCACTGTGATTTTGTTGGTTTATATAATTTAATATAGTTAAAGAATGAGTCAATGAATGAAATGAAATCGCTGCGCTGCGTGAGGAGAGTATGTAAACAGATTCGCCGCTGGCTTAAACCAGAAAGAAATTTTAAGAAGTATAATGAAATGATCTCCATGCTACACTAATAGTAAGGCTTTCCTCTGTTATTTTTTGCCTGTATTATTGGTGTCCCCTTCAAAATTTGCTCTTGAGAATTGTTATGTTTATTGTCCCCCCCAACATTTTGATGAAATTTTCGCCCCTGCTTATGTATGCCCATCACCATTAATCAAATGAAATCATTCACCACACAAGATTTAGCAAACTATTTGAGCCAAAATTAGTGTTAGTGAGTTCTCTATGACTCAAGCTTTTGTCGACATGCTGTAATTTGACAAACAGGCCTGTTTATTAAGAAAATAAAGCTTTTTCAAAAGGCATACACAAAGTATCATTGAAGAAGTTATTGTTTTTCAAAGGTCTGTTTGTTGTAGTCTGATTGTTTGCCAGCGGGTAACTTGAGTTATCACCTTTGCTGTTCCTCAGAGATGGACTTGCTGAAGCAAAAGAACACTTCGCTGTGTTCCATGGAGGCAGAGAAGATATCACTAGAAGCTGAGCTCCAGGATATAAAATCACAGCTTACAGGTGAAACAAGGCTCTGCTCACTTTCGAACTTTCTCTCAAATAGTTTAAAAATAATTCAAAAAGGCCTGACCCCCTAGTTTTGTGTTCTTCTGCAGATATAGAGAGAGATCTGAAAGAAGCAGTTGCTTTGACAGACATTTTGAAGACAGAGAGGCTCACAGTCCGTCAGAAACCTTTGACGGACAGCACCTGTATCAGGCAAGAAATTTATGTCCTATCGTATTGTTAGTCTGTCTTTATCTACCCAGATAAACATGATCCATGAGGAGTTTGAGCAAAGAATGCTGAATTTCGCTTCATCAATCTTTGCATCGTCCTCCTCCTTTCACTTCACCATGTGTAAATAATGCAGCATTAGATCCATCCTATTAATTAGGTCTTTGATATGTTGCTTACTATGTCCGGTCCAGAGTTAGATAAACGCAACCCTGTAGATCAACGCCCCACTAGGACGTGATGATGGAAAGGGGATCGATAACTGTCCTGTCTCAGGAAGAAAGCTCCTCCACTGGGGTGTGTAAATCATATGTGGGGGGGTAGTGTGGAGCAAATCTTCCTTGTTAATAAGAAAGACTGTATAAGCCCCTCAGGATGTGCTGACAGTCTTTGGGGCAGTGCTGCTAAGCTCAGGATATGTTCATTCCTCTCCTATGTAGGTATTAATCACTCTTAAACACATGCCCCCATCATGCAGAGGGCAGTTTTTCCCTTGTATTGATCATCCGACATTGAACACGTCAGTTGAAATTAACAGTGTCTATTTAAAGTGGAAGTTATGAGAAAGACTCCATCAGCATTCCAAACCTTACTACATGGCAGGGTTGAAGTGATTTATTTTGCACATGTAAAGTAAATGTGTTTTATCAGGCACTTTGGGTTAACTCAAGACTCCCAAGTAATCCCAATCACTTGCTGTGGTATTCCGCCATGCATTATAGTTATACACTTCACACGCTTAGAAAAGTGCAACGTTTTAATTTGTGTCACCTTTCTTGGTCGAGTTACACTACTCGTGTAACTGTATAGGGATAACGTGGAGGTGTTTGGTCGCTTCTCTGCTTGGCCCATATTGAATGAACTGCTAAGTTAAATTTGATCAAAGTGTCTTGTGCGCCAGAGTTTTTAAGTTACTAAGCCTGCCTCCAGTCTTATTTGACCGGCATATCATCAAAATGTCAGAAAAACGAAAACGCACTGAGCTCTTTTTCCTCCCCATCTCTCCCCTTACTGCTGATTGGCTACAAGTGTGTTTTGGTGCTTGGTTCAAACCACTTTTCAACAGCGTTTTTCAAAAATCTAAAATCTGTACCTTTAAGGCTTTGTTTTGCTCCTTATGTTGTAGCTGTAGCCTATTGAAGGAAGAGCAATGTTGCATACCATTCACGTCATTTATGCGATTATATTGTTAGTGGATTGGTGCTTATTCATGGCAAGGCTTTTGTTTCTTGTAGTATGTTCAAGATTCTATCGTGGTCACATCATTAATTCACAAATAATTTTTTTTCCATGGTTCTGCAGTTTCAGCAGCAGCTCTTTTGAATATCGGTGTAGAAAACACAATTTCACATTTTTCACCAAGTGCATTTTTTTCTGTTCTTTTATCCCTCTTAATTTAGTATAAAGTATTAACTTGCTTGTATGATTGAACAAGATATGAAGATTTTGAAGACAAGATTACAAACACATTAAAATAGCTAGTGTCATTTTAAGTTTGTATTATTTCGCTTTGGGCATCATAATCGGCTCTTCCTGCATGAATGTGTCTCTGTGTCATTCAGACTCAAGAAAGAGCTGGAGTTATATAAAGAAGAAGAGCTTGAGCTTCTGCGAGAGACCCTTAGCTCTGAGATTCACTCCCTGCAACTGGTAACCATGTGCTTTCCAAACACAATGATAGAAAAAGGACCAAAAAATGGTCTTTCTCATTGATGCTGCTAATGCAATCTCCTTATATACCCAAAGAGCTAACTAAGGCATGTAAACTCTTTAATCTGAAAAATTTACTTTTTTTTTTTTTTTTTTTTTTTTGCAGAAGTTATCACAGAAGGGCATTTTGTGTTGAGGCTGAGGGCTTCAGTCAGATTTCAACGTATGCTTGAAAAACCCTGTTTTGTAGGCTTATATCTGTCATTTTGATTGTCGTTTTTGAAGTGACCGGTTTGTTTTGCCTAGGAATGATTTAATTTTGTTGGACACAGACTTCATATACAGTGTAACCAACATTGTAACAACTTAAGATGATGTGATCTGTAGTTTTGATCTTGCTTATTTGTACTGTTAGAAAAGCTTTAATAAATCCAATGTTGAACTATACTATCTCTTTCTAAATTAGAAATGTTCTTTTTCTATAGATACCTGTCTTCATCTCAGGCACAGATTATGTGAGTCTGTGTTACTGTATGTATTCACAAAGTACCTTAAAATGCTGACAACACTGACATCTAGTGGTTCTATTGCAATAATACAGCCAAACAGAGATATCCATGTTTGAAAATAAAAGGGTTGCTGACAGACTGAATTGGATTCATATTAATCCTAAAAGTAGGTTGCTTATTTGTAAAGAAATACTTTATTATGCATTTTGGACAGATGGAAATGGCCTGAGAAAATCACACAATTTCTGTTGCAGATGCAGCATTTGCATGAAATAAACAGGCACGGAAATTCCATTCCAGCCACGGAAATTAAATCGTCTGAAACCCCTTAGTAATAGCCTGCTTTATTTTCCCATTGCCTGAAGGTGATTAATTGTATACTGTAAAATTGCTTCGAAAAACATGACTAATGTCTGATGATTTTTTAAGACTTCCCAGCCCAACAATTAAAGCTTAAAAAAAATATATATATATTCTTTGTTTTAAATTATTCTGCCTGTACCAGTTTGCTCCTTATGTTTTACCTTTGTCATCTACTGTGGTATTTCCATACTGAAACTTGACATTATGAAAATTCGTTAATTGGTAAATGTATAAGTTATTCAATTATTATGGTTAATTTGATTTGAGCACATTATTCACATCATGTTTATTACTGTTTCTGCATCACATCACTATGTTCTAATTTCCTTAAGTAAAAAATGTAAACTGTAGAAATTAGAACACTTAAGTTTTTGCACTTCCATGAATCATGCCTTACATTCAATACCCCAAAAAAGCTCCTTGAATCTCGTTCTAGCCGCAGAGAAGGCTGAATTCCTTCAGAATGCCTTCGGGGATGCCTGCCTTTTTCAGCTCTGATTGGAAGATATTTGTTATATTCCCCAGTAGTTGTTCATGGCTCTTTATTTTGTTACAGTCATGGTCCTCAGGGAAGTAGGCAGAGGGGGCTCCTGATACCTTAATTTTGGACTCTTCAGAAAAATGTAGGAAAACACCTTTTTCAGTACTAGAGTATTCAGAATTTACATTAAATCATGTAACATGTGAACCTCACAGATTCCTTCATTTATAAATCTCAAATTGGACAAATGTGCAAAACTTACTGTTGCATATAGCCAGCCTGTTGCCACCAATATACTGTGTTGTCCATTTGTGTTGTGTGGTAGCACTGCATTCCTCGAACAGCCGTGATCTTCTTAAAAAGTCGAAATCATAACCCTGTTTGCATGGAAATATGAAATATAGAAAACTAAATGTGTTGTTTGTCATGATGGTTCGTACCCTATTGGCTTGGATTCTGGTTTTAAGCTTTTAGTCAATATCTGGTTGTCCACTGGGAGGTGCTGATGAATCATTGGGTTCTGCCTATTGAAGTCTGTTAAACACATAATCTGTTTACTTCACAAACTTGCAAATACATCTAGTGAGAGTAGCACGGACGACTGCGTAACACAGGAATACCAAGGTACACTGGGAAGCAAATCTCAGTGGAAATATGCAATTATTACCTGCCTGAAGGGTGGGGACTTACAGAATACACATGACATGGAGGGGGCTGCATATGGAAAAAACACTGGGGTGTCCATCCCGCAGTGTGGAATGTTTTAACCCCAGGGGTGGCAAGGTGGCTTGCCAAGGAAAAGACACATGCTCAGAGAGGCTTACAGTGGAAATACACATGTGGGGGTCACCAGTGGGGAACCATGCACATGAAGGCACTTAGCCAATGTTAAAGGTGCCGCAGGCATAGATTCTGGCGTTGACGTTAACAGTACTGGAGGAACTCAGGGCTTCTCAGGGAAACTCACCTGAGGAAATATCGCACATATCCAGTCCGATGAGTGGAATGGCGAGCAAGCGAAGACACCTGAGCAGATCCAGTTACCGGCTAGTTGAAGCGAATACACAAGATGATACTGGCTCTACTCAGAGAGATTGTAGAATCTTGCGAATGTGTTGGGTGTCGCCGAGCCTGCAGCTCTACAGATGTCTGTTAGTAAGGTGCCATGCGCTAGAGTCCAAGAGGAAGCCACACTCCAGGTGGAGTGAGCCTTCACACCAAGGTGGCACGGTAGACCTGTTGGTATGCCAAAGCAATGGCGTTCACAATCCAGTGAGACAACCTCTACTTGGAGAGAGCCTTTCCCTTCAGCTTTCCACCATAACAGACAAAGAGTTGGTTTGTGGTCCTGAAACACTGCATTCTGTCTACAGAAGCACGGAGGGGTGTATTGGACAGAGACGTGCCAAGGCTGGGTCTTCCTCCTTCAGGGGCAGCACCTGCAGGTTCACCGCCTGATATTGATGGAGAGTGCTGGGAACCTTGGGGACATAATCAGGCCGGGGTCTCAAGATCACGTGAGAATAGGCACGTTTCTGCCTATTCCAGGCACGCTTTGTCAACGGAAAATGTGTGCAGGTCCTCATATACCTCTTAATGGAGGCGAGTGCAACCAGGAGCGCTGTCTTAATTGACAGGATCAGCTCCACTGATTGCAGAGGCTCAAAGAAAGCACTCTGCAGGGTAATTAAAACCCCTGTGTGGTCCCAAGAGGGAACAAGAGGAGGGTAAGGTGGATTCAGTCTCCTCGCTCCTCTCAGGAACCTGATGTTCAGGTCATGCTTTTCCACGGGCTTACCCTGGCCTGCATGATATGCGATGATGGCGGCGACATACACTTTCAGGGTGGCGGGAGTCAGCCTTCGCTCCAACCCATCTTGCAGGAAGGAAAGGACGACACTGATCGGGCATTTTCTGGGGTCTTCTCGGTGAGAAGAGCACCAGGTGATGAAGAGGTACCCCTTCAACGTGTAGGCATGTCTCGTGGACGATCCTCTTGCGAAAGTGATGATGGCCACCATCGATTGGGACGAGGGTGCCATAGGGTGCCTCATCTCTGAGAAAGAAGGTCTTTCCTCAGAGGAATTGGCCAGGGAGGTGCTGTCGAGAGGAGTACAAGTTCGGAGAACCAGGTCCGGGTGGGCCAATGAGGCGCAACCAAAATGACCTGCTCCTCGTCCTCCCTGATCTTGGGATCACTGGTTCACTGGGGCAAACGCATACTTGCGGAGGTGCCGCGGCCAGCTGTGCACCAGAGTGTCCGTGCCAAGTGTGACCTCGGTCAGGGAGTAAAACAGGTCGCAATGGGACGAGTCGTGGGAGGTTCCCGAACTGATTCCAAATCAGCTGAACTGCTGGGGATGAGATTGAAGTTTGAATTCAGCATGTCTGCTGTTTTTGTCCAGACCAATGTGAGGATCGAAGCATATTTGTTACACTGCTTACACACATTATTTTAATTGTTAACTGGAGGAACGATGAGAAGCTCATCTGTTTCCTAATATGAATAATAATGAACCTATAATAGAATAATAAGGTATCTAGAATATTATACTGTATTTTATAATCAAATTGTAAATGTGTGTGTATATATAAATGTCATTAATATAATTATACTCTATAGTATAATTTTACCCTCCCCCCATTATGTTATTAATTAAAAAATTTTGCAAGCCTTAAAAAAATCTTAAAAGCCTTAAATTTGATTTAAAATGAAACCTATAGATACCATTTAAACTTGAGGATGTAGTTTACAGTGGAAAAGTTAATGTATTTTATAGTATGCTTAAACTAAAAAAAAATTTCAATATTGCCGTAATACGGCAATTCAAAATTGCCGTATTCAATTTAAATTGAAAGAAAGTTAATCCAAAATTTGTTTAAAGCACATTACTGTATATGAAAGCATAAGTTTTTTTTAGTTAATTGAAAAAAAAATATAGCAGTGAGACTCATATACTGTACATACTGTATTGCACATAGGTTTACAGTAGGTCTTAGTCTTATCCCTGACAGATACACACAGCAGTCCTCCATCCTTGGGCACTGTCGGAGCTGTGCAGTTTGCTGGCAGGAACTCTGCAAAGATAGGATATGTTTAGTACTTTTTTATGGATATATCAACTATATTTGAAAGAAATAGCATATAGGGTACTCATGTGATAAATAGGTGTTGTGACTTTTGGCCACTATTTTAAAGTTACTGTACTCTGCCTTTGTATTGTCAGCAAAAAGTGTGAAGTCATGTCAAGGCAAAAGGCAGTAACTTCCATATTAGAATTTGGATGCTGATCACCATTAACAAAATCATAATAGTAACACCTGTATACAATCTAGTGATCATGGGATTTATTTTGTATGATTTACAATTACTTATATCTACTTTTTGCTATGTGCTTTGGTTGCATTCTTATGGCATTATTAATACATTAGACAGGACAAAATACCTCCATAGCGGTAAAGAGTAGGCCATCTTCAATTGGTACCGAGTGGCTTAAGACTTGCTAAGTGTGCGTTCAAAAATGATCACGATAAAACAGATCCTCGCGCACATTCGACAAGGGGACTGGTTTATAGCCGTGGATCTGAAAGAGTCATACTTTCCTCATACGTTCACGAAAAACGCAGCGCTTTTCCCTTTGAGACTCAGTGGGGATTTGTATTGCTCAACCTTCTGTTTTCTGCGTCTTTTCAGTATGCAGTGGTTTCAGCTGTCTGCCCTATTATTGTGCTTTTGCACTTCACACTTCACTCGTCCGGATTTATTCCAGACGATGTGATTGTAGATATAACCAGCTTGTAACTGCTAGTCTGATGTTGCATGCACCAGTAGGCCTACACTTGTTGCTTCATTGTGTTTTATGCACCAATATACCCGTGTTGCTTCATTATTAACACTCCCTGTCCCTGTGATATATTATTACCACGTCGGCTCGACCGTGTTTAAGGCAGTGTACTCTGCCAGCTAGATGCATGAGTGTTTCAACCAGGACCAGAAAACGAACTCGGTGAGGCATGACTTTAGTTCTTAGTTGTATTCACCTGCTCCAGCATGTGTAACAGTTTTCTGTCAACTCTGCATAGGCCTATATCCTTTGTGATCGATATCGCACGTTTGTCGATGGAGCGGGTTCAGACCACAGCAACTAAATGTTTTGACTGTGTTTGTGCAGGACAAAGCTCTGAGGACATCAGAAGTTACAGGGACTGATGCCAGCTGTACAAAGTACACAGGCTAAACCATGATTTCATTTTTTAATGGACAGTAAAACAAAGGCAGAACACCGTACAATCTGATAGGTAGCATTATTTGATAGAACACCAGCACAGCAACTTCATATTGACGCACGGCTAAACAAAGGGAGAGTACCGTAAGTCAATTTGAGCGTTCCAAAACAAAGGCAACCAAAGCCAATCTGTAACTGGTGTTATGTTGTTCTACCTTGGTTTCTTATGGACTTTTGGAAGTTACTGTTAAGACAACCGATTATTTTCTCAAAAAAAACCCCCAAAAAACCGGAATTGACTCAAGATACTTATTCACATGATAAAGGAGGTGTTGAATGTGCCAAAATATCAATAACTAATTTTCGATCAAAAACGAAGTTATGGCTTGTTTCCACTGAGCGGTACGGAATTGGTACGGTACACAATTATTTGCGCTTCCACTGCCAAAAGTTGTGAATGGTACTAAAAAGCCGAACCGTACCACTTTTTGGGTACCCTTCCGTTCAAGAACGCGCTGTTCCATTAGGAGAATTACTGGACTCGCATCCTCGAGGGTCATTCTGGCTGAGTCGGACTTTGCGTAGGCTCGGTATTGAGAAACGCCTAATGCCAGCGCTTGTTTCTTGTGACAAACATGCCGAGAAGCAAGAACAAGATCTGCTGTATGTCATCCATTGTTGTTTACTATTTCGCTTTCTTCACGCGAAAATGATGCCGATCGCTTCTTTCTGGCAAACGCCATCAAGTAAGGGTACTATTGGCGGTAGAAACGCAAGCCGGATCATGGTTTACTGACTTGAACCGTTCTGTACTGTACCGTACCGTACCGCTCAGTGGAAACGAGCCTTTAGTCTTTGGTGGTAGTCTTTATGCTAAAATAATAAGTAGCATAAGGTTAAATGATGTGATGGGTGTTTATTTCATTTCTTTAATATGTTGTTTTGAAATTTAATTTTTGGAAGAAGAGATATAAGAATGAATTACCTTTGTTTTGTTTTTTCTGGATGATATCAGTCAGCGTTTGTAGTTGATTAAAAAGGTTTGCTCTTTGATATGTTGTCCATGTATCAGAGACAGTTTCCAAACAATTTTTCATATCCTACAAAAAAAGGTTAGTATAAAAATCAAAATTTAACTTTGATATTAGATGTGCCTTCAATAGTAAAAAAAAAATGAATCATTCTTTTATTACAATTGTTTAGCTGTGGATACAGAGATGCTATACCTGAAGTTTTTTGCTGAACATCTCAAAGGAGAATTCAGAGGAAGAGCAGGAAGTATTCTGTCCATGAGCTCTAGTCAAGAGAAACGCTGTAAAAAAAAAAGAGAAAAAAAAAAAAACACATCTCAAAATTGTCATAGAGAAATTAGAATCAATTCCTTTAAGATTTACCATGCACACTGTAAAGTAAGTAACCGAAGCAATGCTTACCAAAGAGCAAGAAAAGCATCTTCCATGTTCTGCTTATTGTTGTAGATTTCATGTTGTTTGTGCTGTTGAGAAAAGGCTGGTATGTTTACCCCTAATCTTTTATTTGGGAAAATATATTGCATCATAGGTTAATGTACACTCAACTTGTTGACCAAATTACAACACACCTGCCTTGAAGAATTGCCAAGGTTTAGAAAAAATCAGTTTAGTTCATTTTGAATCAGACAACAACAATTTGTGTTCAACTTCTGTTTGCTTTGATGTGTTTTGCATCCTGGATTACTGTAGGATATTTTACTCAACAGTCTATAGTTTAGTAAGTTCACCTCACCCTCACCCTCTAGGTGTACATGAAATTATTCTTTCAGACGAATACAATCAGAGTTATATTTAAAAAAAAAAAAAGAGACTGTCCTGGCTCTTCCAAGCTTTGTAATGGCAGTGAATGGCCGTTTCTGTCCATAAAAGTGTATCTATCCATCACAAAAGTGTTCCACACGACTCCGGGGGGTTATTGAAGGCCTTCTGAAGACAAGCCATGCTTTTTGAAAAAAAACAAAACAAAAAAAACAACAACCTATATTTATAACTTTATAATCTAAAATAACTTGCTTCAGCCAGACAACTGTACGCACACTACGCAAGTCAACTTTAGCCACAAGAGTAACGAATGTATGATGTAGGAGTATAGTAAACTTAGACGCCTCTCGTGGTTTAAACAAATAGGGTTGTGCAACAAACTGAAGCGGCTCTTCTATTATATAGAAATCCTCCGACATTTCTCTTCAAAATTTCTAATTCATGACCAGTATTGGTCATGTTACACTTGCCTTCCAATGCTAAAGCCAAACATCGCAGTACTTGGCCATGGCGCCAAGTAAACCAACCTTGGCTAAGAGCCACCTTACATCCTGTCAAAATGTGCCTTAATGTGGCAGGTGATGAACACAAAGGACAAGAGGGATCATTTTTATTTACAGATCTTATTGTGGGTTCACTTGTTGGCATTTTCTCCATTTGTTGATCTCTTCTGCATTAACCTTTATTGACTGCGAGATCAGCTTTAAGTTAATCTGTACTGTATTAGTGTGTTTCAGCCAGTAAAAGTATGTAAGACCGTTGTCAAACAATTCACTAGAGGGAGCACTACTTTTGGGGCTAATGAAAATTCACTCTGCAAGAATACCTAGACATTAAGTCATGCCTCAAAGGACTGCTCGCTCAAACAAATTAAATCATAATAATTACCTTCTCCTTTAATTGCACGTTTGTTTAATTTAAGGATTAATTACTGCAGTACACAGCGATGACAACGGCTTTAACTAAACTCATTTCACTTGATTGTAGAGTCTTCACTGTGTCTTTGAGGGAGAACGCTGTTTTAATGAGAGCTCTCCTGTTGTGGCTTAAGAGGTTTGAAAGGGATGATTGTATGCCTGTGATGTCCTAACCTATTCTTCAAGTATCTTCACATAGAAGCGGCTTAAACCCAGCTTTACATTATTAAATGTTTCATGCCCACTGGCCTGCAAGCCAAAAAGAGTGGCGCTTTTCTGTCTTGTGCAGCATACGCACATCCCGTTGATCAAACATTTTTTGAGTACTTAAAGCATATTTCAATGTAACTCTTTTTCAGCTAAATAATTGGGGTTTATGTTTATTTTGCATTTTAGTAATGACTTTCAAACTAAAGGATTTATGTCTTTCAATATAAGAAAATTTAAATATAGCTGCTCAACCTTGAGAAATTGGATTTTTTTTTTTGCATTTTTCTGATTTTAATTACTGAGCATAAATCATAGTTCTTTATTTATTTTCAGTCGGAGGCAATTAACTGTGAGAGCCTGGCAGAGGGACAAATGTGAATGCTTTTCATGTTGTGTTAGGACAACCACTGCCTAAACCCTTTTATACACAAATTAGCAGATAATGTTTCTGAAATGTGTACTGTACATCAGTGTGCTTGGGTGGTTTTGTTTGACTCTCATTTCAGTGGAATCTTTTATTTAAATGGAAGATGGTAATACAAAGAAATCACTGTGAGAAAGACAGGGAGAGATTTGAGGTGTGCTCAGGCGCTTGGAGGCCTGGGACCTGGGCCAACACACTGTCACATCCGAAACCACAGATGTACTCACTAATATCTCAGAGAGATTGTTGATGCTAATGGGTGTCTAAGGGGAATTTACAGATTAATATTTAAAAAGTTTTTTTTTTTTTAAATACTATGTAGAGAATTTGGAGTCTCCCATGCAGGCATCTTTCAATCTCACAGTTAAGACGTGGTCTGGGAACCACATGTTAATTTTCTCGCATTTGAGGCGTGGTTTATGAATGCCTAGAGCCGTTTATTGGGCGCTATGAATGTCTATCAAATGCGTCTTTACGTAGCTTAGCAAATCGTTTCAATTATACCAGATGACATATGTAAACCGAAAAAAATTAGACGAGGAAGATGGGTCAGAGATTTATTTGCGTTCTAAACTACTTAGAACAATATATAGGCTGCATCGAAAGTTAACTTCGCATTTGTTGCCATGTTTGATCCATAAACAAACTGCTTTGATGTGTCACATAGACATCATCCTCATCTTGCTACAGTACTCCCTCCCCGTTCTGTGATTGGTCCCCTCGCTGAGGTGAAAATTTGATCCATGGTATCCAGAATGTCTAGCAGTGTGAATATGAGGAAACCCAGGCTATATTTTACTATCTTCTCAGACTAATTGTGGTGAATTTAAGGTAAATTTGGCATGCGTGATTAAAGTGACAATTTCATAAAGTTTCAGTTATTTTACTTAAATATCTGGGAGAATGTAAAATGGGTGGGTAAGAGTTGACTCAAGTATGAAGTATAACTCACTGTTTAACAGTTTTAACAATCTGAAAGATCGATTTGGTAGCAAAAAGACATAGCCTAGCTTTGAAGTAAGGCAGAATGTGCACATCTTTTAATATTTTCTTTAAGAGAAGATACAAAACAGTGGAAGCTGGCAATGCAATGTATGAAAATGTTTCATGTTCATGTGTTGAGAAAATTATAAAAGAGACGAAAGTAGACTTAAAAGAGAGTATAAGGAAGGAGGTTTTGATTAACAGCATGCCTTGAGCAGTATACTCAATGGATTGTTGTAGCTGGGAATTTGGCATGGGCCGAGTTTTGGCCAATCATTGTTCTAGAGGGTTCCAGGCTGTAATCTATCCAATATGACCCCACAGCTGGAAACCTTCTCTGATGTGTGCTTGGATAGAAGAGCTCAAGGGCAAATTCTGATGCAAGGCCTCCACAAGGGCCATGGTATTTATAGGCTTAGCATAAAACTGAAGGATTGAGGGTTCATGATGCCTCAACACAGACTAGCTTACTCAAGGGAGGGGATTGAGAAATGCAGTGAGTTTTCTTTCTTTTACCATTTCTCACCTTTTTCAGTCAAAAGTAACTGCATCTTTTCAGACCTTGAGCATAGTTTTTACACATTTGAAATTAAATAATATTTTTTGTTCTGTGTTGAGCTACAAGTAATCAGACATGAATGCCTGTTTGAAATGTAACAATACAGTACCTGTCAGCAGTTTGGAAATTTTACCATTTTTAATGTTTTCAAAAGAAGTCTCTTATTTTATTAAAAATAGAGTGAAAACAGTTATATTGTGAACACTATCACAATGTAAAACATGTAAAACAGTTGTTTTGTATAATACATTTAAAAATGACATTGATTGGTTGGCAAAGCTGAATTTTCAGCATCTTTCATCCAGTCTTCAGTGTCACATGATCCTTCAGAAATCATTTTAATGTGATGATTTGGTACTCATTTGACCAAAAGTGACAAAAAATACATTTATAATGTTACAAAACATTTCTGTTTAATACATGCTTTAATAAATTTTATGAATAAATGTAATAAATGCCATTGAGCTTTCTGTTCATCAAATTATCAAGAAAAAAATGTTTCACAGAAATGTTAGGGAGCACAACTGTTTTCAAAATTGATAAAAATAATAATAAATGTGAGCAGCAAATCCGTGTATTAGAATGATTTCTTAGGGATCATGTGGGGCTGGAGACTGGAGTAATGATGTTGAAAAGCTTTGTCATCGCAGGAATTAATTGCATTTTAAAATATATTCAAATATAAAACAGTTATTTTAGTTTGTAATAATATTTCACAGTATGCCTTTGGGATCAAATGAGATTTCATTCAAAAATAGTAAAATTATATTGTAATGTTTCCAAACTTTGGGCAGGTATTGTATATCAGTTCTTCTGCATATAAGCATTTGAATGTTTTGAACGATAAATGTTAATAACTTTTTATTTTCCCCCAAAAGGATAGCTTTTGCAACAGTTTAGTAAGATACTGGAAACTTTGAGTTTACCAAATGGCCTGTAAAAAAATAATTTCAAGATTTGTTATCACAACATTTTTTCTTTTGTCAAATCAACTTAAATAATTTATTTAGTTGAGATAACTTAATATTTTGAGTTTCTGATGATTAAATGAATCTCCATTGTATTAACTCACTTTTTCCAGTTCAATCAACTTAACATTTTAAGGCAACCAGGTTACTTACTTTTTAAGTTTAAACAACAATATTTTTTTACAGTGTACTTCATGGTTCACTAATGTTAGCACTAGCAATGGGTACAAATTTGCAAGTTGTCAATATGACAACTTGGCATATGCTGTCATTTATGCATTATTGTTGTGAAGTAGTTCTACATCTTCTTTCATTTTAAATGCTGATTATTATTGACTGTCCCAGGTAAGATTCAGTCACCTTTGAGATTCATATAGGAGTCAAATCCACCCTTGGGCATTCTAAGCATATAGCATTTTCTGCTCTATGAGTGGTGCAAAGCAGTAAAGAGCCAGGAAAACGGCCATGTCACAGCTGCTTTGGCTCAAAGCTGCAAACGTGGAGTAAAAGGGAAAAAAGTCCTGCTGGCATTTCAACAGCTGAACACCTTAGCCAATGCTTGGTTAAGCATCCTCCTCCAGTGCTTTCCTAATTCCAAATGTCACCAGTGTCCTTAATGCTTTTACACCCTTTCCATCAGAAATGCCATTTCTTTGGGTTGTGGCATTAGCTTTGAGTTTCTAGA